CTGATGACGTAGAAAAGATTAAACTTCTTTTACCATCAGGTTTAGAATATGAAATTGAAAGAGTAACGGCTAAATTTCAGGTATTGGATAGAGCGTATGTGATTCGAAAACAATTTCCATTATCTTTAAGTTATGGCATCACTATTCATAAAAGCCAAGGATTAAGTTTGCAAAGTGTTGTTATGGATATTGGCAACTCTGTATTTAGTTGTGGTCAAATTTATGTTGCCTTGTCGCGAGTAACATCTCTAGAAGGAGTGAATTTAATAAACTTTGATCCTTCAGCAGTAATAGCTAACGAAAAAGCTATTATTGAATATAATCGTTTAAAACAGATATACAATCCGAAAGCAGAAATGATTGCTGTGTCAAAAGAACGTTGTCGTAAAGTAAAAGATGTTCCATGGGCGTTACCAAAAATAGTTACTTCTGTTCAAAAATCAAATTCAGATCGAAAAATTCAACATATGGTTTCAAATAAAAGAATTCAAAGCACTGCTTGGATCATACGTGGTTTTCAGAATACAGACAAGATTTCATGTTATGCAAATACAGTATTGCAATGTTTATTACATTTAAATATTATTAGGCAGCAGTTGATTAATTGCGATAAAACAGACATTTTACGTATATTAATGCATCGATATGAAAATGGAATGCGAAATCTAAATACATATGCAATACGGCAATGTTTAGGAGAATATTTTTCGAGTATGGTAAGACGAAACGCGTACGATTTTCTTACGGCACTTTGCGAAAAATATGATTGCATTACAAATTTGATACAACATCAAGTAACTTCTACCAAGCGATGCAAAACATGTGGTAATACAAAAACTATGGTTGAAAATAATATTGCTATTTCAATTTCCCTTGATAATTTAAAGAAAAAAAGTTGTAATCTTAATGAATTATTAAATTATACATTTTCACATTGGTTTCACTTACACAACGAATCATGTGAATATTGTACTGGAACTGATCAAATATTTAAAAATGAAGTAACATTAACAAGAGAAATAATTGTTATTCGTTTAATAATATTTTTAGCAAAAGATGGTAAATTAATAAAAGCAGAAAACAAATTTAATTTATGTGTTGTTCCAACAATTAAAGTATTAATAGCGGGACAATTGTACAAGACGATGAGTGCTATACTTTATGATAGTTCGTGCACCGATGAAGGTCATTATGTAAGCATATGTAGAGAAGGATTATCTAATATTTGGATCGAAATAGATGATGCAGAAGTAAAAAAGAGCAGTGGCCTAGAGGTGCTAAAGATGTTTATATAATATTTTTACAAAAAATAGGTAATAAATAATACTAATTCGATATAAAATAAAGTAGTTATAAAATTATTCCTAAATAGATTTTTATAATATCAAGTTTATGACTATTACTATTTAATCATTTAATCTTGTATTTCGATCAGTCCTATATAAAAAAAGGTTTCGTAATATATTAGCAATTTCATGACAACGCTTTACATTCTGCATTATTCGTGAAGTTCAAAAAAATATTTTTTACTTAAAATACAAGATAGTTATTTTTATCTATAATAAGCAAAGAGGACCGTCGTATTTTGAAATAGTTTTATAGTCTGAAATATTACACGACCAAGATTTTTTAGCTTGTTCTGTTGTTAATGGTAATATGTTTACTACTTTTTTTTTACATTCATTATCAAAGGTTCCAATGGATTTACATCATGATGATATGTAGACTCAATAAAATAATTTTCAGATGAGGCTGTATGTCTAGATTCGCCACATAGCGCAGTTAATTTGTCTAAGATTGTAGATTGCGAATATAATTTTTCCTAATACATATGCACCAACGTACAATTTGTTTGGCTTCTAATCGTTTCTCAATATAACCTTTAATATTGATTTTTTCAATAATATTTTTTATAAATATTTCTGAAGTAAAAAAGAGACAGTGGCCTAGAGGTGCTAAAGATGTTTATATAATATTTTTAAAAAAATAGGTAATAAATAATACTAATTCGATATAAAATAAAGTAGTTATAAAATTCTTCCAAAATATATTTTTATAATATCAAGTTTATGACTATTACTATTTAATAATTTAATATTGTATTTCGATCAGTCCTATATAAAAAAAGGTTTCGTAATATATTAGCAATTTCATGACAACGCTTTACATTCTGCATTATTCGTTAAGTGCAAAAAAAATATTTTTTACTTAAAATACAAGATAGTTTTTTTATCTATATGAAGCAAAGAGGACCGTTGTATTTTGAAATATGACGGGGGTGGTGGCGGGTTCTTTGCCTATTTATTTAAAGATGCTTATCATATACAAAAATGAATGATATAATCTCGAAAAACTCACCTTTAAAAAAAGGTAAAAAAAAGCGACCAGTTAAGGGCACGCCATTAACAAAAATTATCCGTTGCAAACCCATGTAGAATCCTATCCTATTGCAAACCCATGTAAAATCCTATTCTATTGCAAACCCATGTAGAATCCTATGAAAAATTAATCATTGCAAACCCATGTAGAATCCTAGGCAAAATTAACCATTGCAAACCCATGTAGAATCCTATGAAAAATTAACCATTGCAAACCCATGTAGAATTGTATTAAAAATTATCCATTGCAAATTTATGTAGAATCCTACATTGCAAACCAATGTACAATAGAATTGTATGAAAAATTATCGATTATAAACCCATGTACAATCGTAACAAAAGTAATGAAATAAAAAAAAATTGCGCCAAGTAAAAGTAGAAACTTGTACCAGTGGAAATTAAAGTTGCAGACATATATAGAGTCGTATAATGAATCAGTAAAAATTTAAATTTGCAAATGTAGAATCGTACCATAAAAAAACTTATCTTTTAAAAAAAAGATAAACAAGATGCCAAGTCCATGCGCCATGTGAAAAAGTGTTAAACAAAAAAATATTTTTAAATAAAAAAATCTATAAATTGACAAAAATTTATGTTCTAAAATTAATATCTCTACAAAAAGTAATGTCCAAAAATTGCGCGAATAAATAAACATTTTTATAAAAAATTAAAATTTAAAAATTTATGCAAATTTAAAATTAATATAAAATAAAAAAAAATAAAAAAATTTTAGTTAAAAAAACTGGGCGCGCTGCTAAGTTTTAAAATTATGTAATCAGTTTTACTTATATGTATGTATATTCAATGTGAACTTGCACCTTGAATAAAATATCACAATTACTTTTCATGGTAATATATTATTACTAAATTTAGATAATATACACTTTACGTATGTTCACTTTGAACTGGCACCTTGAATAACATATCAGTTACTTTTCGTGATAATTTATTATTAGATCGTTTAAATTTTTGAGTACCTTCTTTTGAACATGGCCTGACCTTTTCATTTTTATGATTTTTTTAGGATATCACTTACTTTTTAAAGTACAGATATATAGAACAGCTTTCTAGTAATTCAAGTATCACAAATATATGTATTTTCGATTCTTATCACATAACTTTGTATAAGTAACAATTTATGCAATATAGTTCAAAATAATTGAAATATGTGGTATAAATGTACATATATAAAATATATAATTATATTATAGTATATATATATATATATTGTATTTAATCATATATGTAAATGTTTGTATAATTGTAATAACTTTTAACGATACATTGCACATTTATTTCAATTGCAACAGAATGAATTCATATTTTTGTATGAATATTGAAAATAAAGAATGGGCCCCTTCATCGCCCATTCTCGTGAGAACGCAACCATATATTTATCTTCGTCTCTCCGATTTTAACACGACATACATATTTCTGTCTGATAATTTTTTTCTGGATGATACTTTTTGAAATGTCATGAAGCCTAGGTCAAATTAGAAACTTATTGCACTCGTTTTAATGCAGCGCTTACAGCAGCTTTTATAAAGCGCCAGAGCAGCCGATATTTTATTTTGGCGCTTACGGCAACTTTTATACAGCGCCAGAGCAGCCGATGTTTTATTTCGGCGCTTACGGCAGCCTTTATACAGGGCCATTATTTAATCTGTTCTAAAAACAATATGTATGCCCCTTGTGCTCCTTTGGGCCATTTTTTCTTGAACACTTCCATATCATTAGAGTAATACCATTCCGATTTTGTGTCAGCTCTCAACATACACGTGTAGTGACCACGATTCATTTCTTCACCTTCGTGAAATATAGCGCTTATTACCTTGTACTTTTTTTTATTAATCGTGATATTACTCGTCGGCACGGCGTTAATCCGATTGTTGATAATTTTTTTAGAAGCACCGTTTACAAAAGTATATAAATTGAGCTGTATTACTACGACGGATAAAGTTGATTCGATTACGGTTTTCTTTTTAACACGGTACTCTTACATTCGTTACAATTGCCGTTTATCGTTTCCCATTTAGAAAATTCTACATTAATCAAACTTTGTAGAGTGACACCTTTTTTCCTTTTTAATGTCGAATGTATAGGTAATATTAGCAAACTACTGCTTTCCAGCTTAGTTACATTGTAATTACATTTGACATTCGAGCAACATGTTACGTGCTTTAATTCGAGTTCTAATACATCATTGATGTCGGAATACGTCGACATTAGAGCCGTAAAAAATTCCGAAACATCTTGTTGTGTTCGTTCTTCAAAGCGTTTTCCGACAGATCTTCTAACCGCTTGAATGTTGCAATATTTACGTTCACCATACGCGCAGATAGCATCAGTCAATGCATTCGATGCTTTATTTTTCAGTATTTGTTGCCTAATACGTACGCAATGAAACGCACATTGTAATATTACATTAGCGTAACACGAAACAGCATCGTTATTGCAAAGGCCATATATTTTCCACGTAACTATACTTTCTGGTTCCTCACAATCATAATTCTGCACATCATCAATGATATTAGGGATAGCCCATCGACGATCGTACATTTTCACAACCTTTTTCTCGGACGGATTGATTTGTGGCAGTTCAGATTTGAATATAGATCTCAGTCGATTATATTCTACAATGGCTCTCGAGTTTGCTTTAACTGATGCTGGATTGAAATTTATCAAATGTAGGCCTTCCAATTTACTTACTCGTGACAAACCTACATAGGCTTGACCATCACTGAATACAGTCGTTCCTAAATCCATCATTGCATTGTTACATGTAATTCCTTGACTTTTGTGTATAGTTATTCCATAACTGAGAGACAATGGAAATTGTTTCCGATGTACCACTAATTTGTGGAATACTTCAAATTTAATATCTACTTTCGTTATTGCGATTTCTTTGTTATCCGAAATAACTATTTTGATGGAATCAATACGATTGCCGTCAGCAGAGCGATTAACTGCAACTACATTGCCTATCGTTCCATTGACAAGTCCCAAAGTTACGTCAATGTTTCGTCGAATCATCACTTTAGCGCCAATTTTAATCGCTATTACTCTTTCAATGCCAGCTGTTTCAGACACTTTATCATCTTTGTCTTCTAAAATTTTATGCACCTTTTTTTTCATTGCTGGAGCACAGTCGACATCATCTTCTGCTATCAGTAGAATTTCATCGCTGTCGATTTTATCGAGCATTGCTGTGTTCAAAACCTTGCACAAATAACACGTGGGCAATAAACAAATTGTATCAATCGGTAATTGATTCATATAAGTGCAAAGTTCATTCAATCTTTCGTCGCAACTACTTTCTTTAAAATTGATTTTTCTAGACTGAAGAACATTGATGTCAGAATCCGTTACTAAACCTATTCGTATTCTAGAAAGTATATCACGATATGTATTATCGCATCTTTGTCGCATATTAATCAAAATTTGTCGTACTCGAACAATCTCCACAAATCACATCCACCCATGGTACCTAAATACTTCTGAATCTCTGATCGAGACATTTTAACAAACGAAAATTGTCCTTTTACAGGAGGAAGCTGCAACAAATCCCCAAACAGGAGAATGTGTTTTCTGCCAAAGAAACCATCATCTGTATCTGTCGTATCAAAGATTTCACATAATCGTAGATTGATAAACATAAGTGTCACATTTGAAATCATGGATACTTCATCGATTATAAATAATTCGACATTCTTTAACTTGTCTCTCAAAGTTTTCAAGACCATGTCCGACAATTGCGTATATTTTGGTGTAGATTCATGACTAACGGGTAGTTGAAACATTCTATGGATTGTCAAGCCATCGATATTGAATGCTGCAATACCCGTGGGAGCAGATATGGCAGTCGTTTTTTCCAAATTTATTCTGATCCAATGTTTAATCGTTTCAATTAGAAAACTTTTCCCTGTACCACCCTCGCCACTTACGTACAGTCGCAGAATCTGATTCTTATCTTGTAAAACTTGGCATACTCCATCAAAGACTCTTTTCTGGTCTTCGTTCAATTGCGACATCATTTGCGATAAATCAATCGGGTCGTCAATCTTACCAAAATCTTCCAGATCTTTCATCGCGTCGTCAGCTTCTATCGGATTACAATCCAGTTCATCGTCATCGGATTTGTCTCTGTCTGCTGTTTTCAGATCATTTTCGCGCTTCTCGATTAATTCAGCAACGTTCTCAAAAGCTTTCTGTATTTCTTCGAGCCTTTCGTGATATTTCATTGCCTTCGTTAAAACAGACTCTGAATTCTTAAAGGCATCCGTGTAAGTCTCGAATGTACCTTTGAGTTCACTCAAATCTCTCCATGGTTTGAACAGAAGAAGCAGCGAGTAAAAGTATTTTTCGGGCTCAGTTTTTATATTAAATCGATAATGGTTAATTAAATAACCCTTTTTCCGTTTTTTTAAAAATAAACCCGATGCCAGTTTGTAACACTTGACTTCGTCATTATTTGACATCTGTTTCGTAATTTCCCAGAATCTGGCAAAATCGTACAAATTCAATGATTCTAATTCCTGAGGTCTATTTGGATAGTAATCATCGATGAGTGACGAACAGTAAATATTCGTAGAATTTTCATCGAGAGCTTTAATTTCATTAAATGTTTTAACTTTTCTATTTCTCACCTCATTAACATCGATCCATTTGACCACGGTATCATTATCCGTACCGTACAAGGGATTCCCTAATAGTGTATCCGCAGCTTCTAAAGCACCGCATTCTCTGTTATTTAATGAACGCATTGCAAAATTCCACAGTTTCGATGCCAAGGACTTATTTGAATCTATCACTTCAAAGTCTGTATTGCATTTTTCCGACTTTGTCGTGTATTTTGTTAAATATGAGTTTAAAAACTCTGATTTTTCTCCAATAAATTGTATGTCCATATTTCCCTCCCAGGCTAATTTGATAGCCGGATTATAATCATTTATAAACCTTTCCGACTCCTTGCGAGGAAGATCGTACAATCTGCTCTTACTGCGTAAATTTTTTCTACCGACTATCGAAGTGATAACGTCTCTTAAAACGAAATTCTCAGTAACTGGCCGAGGAAAATCGAACCGACACTTTCTGTATATATTAGTTGCCGTTTTTTTCGTACGCATGCAATACGAGTTATGTTTATGATTCTGATCACTTATTACCGTATCGTACAACGTTGGCGAAACATTTTCATCTGGAATTTCACACGTTACGTATTTTCAAATAAACGTAGCAACTTCTTCATCTGGCGATTTTCCTAATACTGGAGCATCTTTTATCCAAATCATACAATGCATGTGCTGAATACCTCTACTTTGATATTCCAGTCGCCAGAAGTAATGAATAACCTTTCCTATTGGATTATCGGACGAACAAATAAAATCAATCATGGCTTTGAATTTTATGCACATGAATCTAGAAGTACTTACAGGATCGTATGCGACTAGTTCGCTGATGCCTAACTTCTCTTTATCGGGATTCATATCTCGTAAATATTCACCCAAATCGGACCATTTCCATTCACTAGGACTCAAAGTCAAAAACCACGTCGCTGGACCGTAATGCAAAGTCATGCATTTTACATTATTGGACGGTTGTCGCCAAAATTGATCCGTATTTCTCAATTTTGCGAAAATACTCATTAAATTCGATTCTAATTCGTAACCTTTCAATTCGTTCAAGTATCTACCAGCAGTGTATCTCTCTCGTGGGTTAGTAACCATCATCGTATAATAGATACCACTTTTCAACTGTCGGTAGTTAGCATCATTGAGAAGGAAAAACAGATACTGCAGATTCAACCTGAATCTACTATGTTTCGACATCAATCGTGTTCTAATAAATAAATATTCCGGCAATGCAAAGTTTCTATCTTCTCGTTGTCCATTGACACCATCAGGATATAAATCAGGGAAACACATGACATCCAGATATTTATAACGATTATCCATTGGAAAATCTTCAATTTTCATCATTTGATAAAGCTTCAATGCAGATTCGTTATCGATTCTTTTCGCGTGTATTGGGTATATTGTATACTGATCGTTAATATCCGAATCTTCAGTGATTTGTGTGAGGAAAGCCCTACGTTTTAAAACGATTTGATCATTATTATTTTTGTTTTCCTGTACATTGTACAAATTCAATGCTGGTAATTTCTCAACCACCTCATTTATTTCGTCATTGTCGCTTTCGTCATCGACAATCCGATATTCTGTTTCCTGCAACTTATCATTTAATAGATCATCAGATGACGCCGGAAGACGAATTTTCGAGTAATGAGGATTATTTTCTTTCAACCATTGTAAAGCCTTATACACTTTATTAATATCTACCAAATTTTCCCAAACCACTTTAGATTTCTTGGGTATACCTCGAACGAGAATGTGCAACTCGTGATTCAAATTTATAGGATCTTCCGGAGGACATACCTTATCCAATGTTTCTTGTAAAGGTAGAGGCAAATGAAATGTTCTACCTTTTACTTTGCGGATCATTTGTCTATGCGGTATATGTTTGTTCGAAACATTGCCCATCAATTGCACTACTTGAAAGCTGCTCATTCTCTTGATTAACATTTTTTCGTAATCATTGAAATCTGACAAAACATCTGGTAATGGTTTTACCGCAAGATTATTCAAAATGCAAGTAGAAGGCAACACGCCTTTTTGAAATTTACCCAAACAAAGCTTACAAACGAATTCAGTATTATTACTGTGTTCTGTTACGTTTGCTATCAGATCTTTCCAAAAAGGTCCGTCTATTGTTTTCCTCACCTTCTCGAGCTTAGAAACGTCTCTTCTCAAGCATAATTTTTCGCAAGAGATGCAAGGGATACGTGGTAAATCCAACAATCGCTTTTTCATGACTTTAAATGCTTCGTAATTTTGCGAGAAAATCTTTTCCTCGTCCAAACAAACATCAGTTACATTTTTTGGATAAAATCTTGCTTTATTCTTAAAATCATTGGAAATTTCAACTAATTTATCCATATTGATGAATCTCAAAGATGAAAACAGTTGACAAAACTTATTATAATTGTCGATCAATTTGTAAACATTTCTTCGAATATTCCTCACGAAAGGAAAATGAGGTGATAAAGTGTTTATCATTGCAATGTATGACTTGCAAAGATTCGGATTTGTATAGCATTCCGGAGGATGTCCTAATCTGCTACTCGTACGTGAAACGGAACAATTTTTTAGCTGCGCCATGAATTTAACATTCATTATCTTTTTCAAAGTACCTTCTTCAAACAGTTCCAAAAATTTTACAAACTTTTCCATGGAAGTATCATTTATGTGGCATTTGTTCTCATCACAATGCCACATTTTTATCTTTTTACCATTGTTATCTATTAACGGCAAAACATTTATTACTCCGTGAGGAGAGGATTGTCTCATTATAAGTGGTTGCTCAAACTTTTTCCTTTGCTCGTAAGCAGTTTCATAAAAGTACGTTTCGGAAGACGAAGTATGTTTGGATAAGCCACAAAGAGCTCTAAGTTGATCGCTTTTTGGATATTTCAAAGTCTTACATTCATTGAATCGCAATAACGCAGCTTCAGCAACGTTTTTCAAATATGAAAACACTTTTCTTGCTGCATTGAGGTACGATTTTTTTGCTATTACACACCACTTAAATATCTGTTCGGCTTCCAATCGAGCACATATTGTTGATTTATTAATTTTTCTCGACATCTGTTGAATATAAAACTCTGAATATTTTGGAAACTTAAAACACTTTTGCCAAGATCGAACGGTATTAAATTTTTCCTTCATTCTCTTGAACATTTTCCATCTTTGTACGATAGACTTCTCGCTACGTTTTGCATTGCACCTCTTGTTGTACAATTTTTTTGAGTCGGGATATTTTTGTCTGAATTTTCGTTGGCGGTCTCTTTCACGGGCAGCATTTTTTAAATAATTTTTTCTTTTGACGTACCTTTTATTTTCTACATCTTTTTGGTATTTGCCCCGCTTTCTTTTACATATTCCCTCAAGATCTTTTTTATATATATCACACATTTTTTGACGCTTTGTTTCAGGATCCTTTTGGTACTGATCACGCACCATCTGAAGTTTTGTTTCAGGATCCTTATGGTACTGATCACGCACCATCTGACGTTTTGTTTCAGGATCCTTATGGTACTGATCACGCACCATCTGACGTTTTGTTTCAGGATCCTTATGGTACTGATCACGCACCATCTGACGTTTTGTTTCAGGATCCTTATGGTACTGATCACGCACCATCTGACGTTTTGTTTCAGGATCCTTATGGTACTGATCACGCACCATCTGACGTTTTGTTTCAGGATCCTTATGGTACTGATCACGCACCATCTGACGTTTTGTTTCAGGATCCTTATGGTACTGATCACGCACCATCTGACGTTTTGTTTCAGGATCCTTATGGTACTGATCACGCACCATCTGACGTTTTGTTTCAGGATCCTATGGTACTGATCACGCACCATCTGACGTTTTGTTTCAGGATCCTTATGGTACTGATCAAGCATTATCTGACGTTTTGTTTCAGGATCCTTATGGTACTGATCACGCACCATCTGACGTTTTGTTTCAGGATCCTTATGGTACTGATCACGCACCATCTGACGTTTTGTTTCAGGATCCTTATGGTACTGATCACGCACCATCTGACGTTTTGTTTCAGGATCCTTATGGTACTGATCACGCACCATCTGACGTTTTGTTTCAGGATCCTTATGGTACTGATCACGCACCATCTGACGTTTTGTTTCAGGATCTTTATGGTACTGATCACGCACCATCTGACGTTTTGTTTCAGGATCCTTATGGTACTGATCACGCACCATCTGACGTTTTGTTTCAGGATCCTTATGGTACTGATCACGCACCATCTGACGTTTTGTTTCAGGATCCTTATGGTACTGATCACGCACCATCTGACGTTTTGTTTCAGGATCCTTATGGTACTGATCACGCACCATCTGACGTTTTGTTTCAGGATCTTTATGGTACTGATCACGCACCATCTGACGTTT